GACAGTAATAGGCAGCTAAAATTAGTGTATATGCTTTTTTATTTTTTACTTTTCTAGCTACTTTAAAAAATACTCACAATTAACTTAGGAAATCAAAATAGCAGCAGTTTTAATTTATTATTGCCTGTTTCGAGGAGATCAAAAGAAACCAATCACATAGCTAATCATCTTCCTATTCTGTTGTATTACAAAAAAACGTATGATGGGTGTACGTAAATGAAATACAACAAGCATGCTAATAAAAAAACAAATTAAGCTTTATTCCACAAAGTTTTCAGCAAAACCACTAACGTGGCACATGTAATAAAACTGAACAGCACTTGTATAAACTAACAACAGAGAATACTAATAATTTTCAGTCATAGCTCTTTCAGTACCGCTCAAATGCCTCTCAATTCACCAGATTCACTGCTAACCAAACTCCAACTGATTCACTCTTGGTTTGAGAGCTTGCTTATTATACCTTTTCGAATAAGAAGTGACGTCACATAGTAATCTCTCGAAGGTTCTGGATATTTCCGCTACTAAGAGAGATAGGACCACAATTCATGAATTTTCTAGACGTTTATTTTTGTCACCAAGTTAGCCAAATTTGTTCCCAATGTCGGAGTTCAATGGCTCCCAGTAAAACTTCTGGAAAACTCTTTCTTTGTATTAAGATTAGCATATCAGGGATATAACTATACAACTTCGTAACACTAGTTATATTCGTTTACAGACCCATTAAGATAAAAATGAGCGTCATCTCCGAATGTTACTTTCCTAGCCAATCGTCATGGATTTCGATTCGGGCAAGAGATTTTAAGGTGAAAATCAAGTGCATGACATAATTTGTAAAGATTAATTCTTACAACGACTGTTCATGTACGGATAAAAAGTGAGTGCAACTGACGGCGCTGTAATTCACATCGATTGGCGAGATATTTACTTTCACAAGTGCTGGTTACTTTTCTGTCGAGTGTCACAGTATTATGAAGTAGTGTCATACAAACTTAATTTTGGATACCACATTATGACGGGAAAAACACGATAGAATAATGCGAATATCTTTTGAACAATTCCTTTTTGTCAAGATATTTTGGAACTTATCCTTTCTTTGCAGCTTCATCAAAACATGTGCAGAAATAATAATTTTGAAACTTAGTGGAAGGTCTAGAGCAGGGGGTTCTCAATCTTTATTCCCTCGCATACCCCTTGATTAATCTTTATATTTTTGCGTACCCCAATGTCATATCCTCCTTCCCTCCACCAACCATCCGTATACGCAAAGAAGTTTGAGAGTCAAATGACTCGAATTAACAACATTTGTTGAACTTACTTTTTACTTTACATTTTATTGCCTTTTTACGATAGTATTAGTTCAACGCCAAAACATACGAAATGAGTATTGTTATACTTTCGCATTAACTTATCAGGATGGTTAAATATTACGCTCTGTTATAATCAACTATTCAAATGGTATAGTTATTAAAAAGCAAATATTAACTTGGGGAAACAAACTTCGGTAACTTTTTTAATGCCTTATGTTTTCTTGCTTCCGCCATTATCAACTTTGATTTCACGTACCCCCAAGCTAGACATTCAAGTACCCCCAGGAGTTCGCGTACCATAGGTTGTCAACCTCTGATCTAGAGTACAATTCTTGCTCTCACAGACGTATGCGGGATACCTAACTTCCTTGTTACGATTAAGCATATGTTGATATACATTTTGCATCCTTCTTGTTTTATTTAGAGTAAATATTCTTTTTTCGCTTTTTGTGCATATAAAGAAAGCTTTTTACACATACACAAGATGAAATTCCCTCAGTCCGATTTAATTCCTCTCAGTGTTCTCTATGGTGTGAAGAAAAAAACCCATATCGCATTTTGCTGACAGAATTTTGTTTCTAAGCCTACATTTCACTAGATCACTTTTTAAAAAGCTTCACGAACTTATGCATCCACTGAATCTCTTTAGTCACTGTTAAATATGATATAAATGCGTTTATACGTAGAAAAATGCAATCCTGCTATTTATGTAAGTATATAATACTATATAAAAATGTAAAATAAACCTCTTTCTCCAGATTTACCATGAGTGAGAATCAAACTCAAGTCCAATACTGTGAATCAGCGAAATCGCTGGCATCAATAAACTTTTTATTACGATCAACACATTTAACGTACATGTACTTGTAACACTATCTTCCATATTTTATAAGCATACTACCCGCGCCTCTCGTTTATCACGCCTGAAATCATTCAACAAGGAACGTGAGAAACGCAGGATGACGTGTCTGACGCCATAGCCACTCGGTCATTTTGGCCCAAGAATATCTTTCAGATCAGATACTGGAAATAATTAAGATTACTTTATTTATCCTTCCTTTCCTCCCCCGAGGAGATCTGAGAAAACACGTAAAACTGCTCCTTCATTCTAAATGGCAGGAGCAGTGGGATTCTGTGACTAATAACAAACTTCATGCTGTGAAACCCCTTGTGGAACCTTGGCCCTCTTTTATGAATAGAAAGCCCATACGCTTTTAACTCGTTTGAGCATTGGACATACCAGATTTACTCACCTTCACTTGTTGCTTGGAGAAGAACCACCAATGTGCTCGCGATGTAACTGTCACATGTCAGTCCACCATATACTTTCAGGATGCCCAAACTTTAATACCCATCGTTTGCAGTCTTTTAAAACGCCGTCAATTTCCTTAGCTAATTTACTTGGTGAAACACCTCATGTACAAATATAGTTTTATTCACTGATTTAAAGCATTTTTTACTTAACTAAATACCTTTATACTTCTATAATTACACGATTGTTTTAATTTTAATTTACATAGATATAACTTACACTTTTGTTTGGCGCAGCATAACCAAACTAATGGCTCTTGTGCCACAAAACATCTAAACATCCTCCCCCGAGACGGCTTCGCATCCATAAGTTAGTGGATTAGAAGCCGCCGAATAAGTAAGTGTGGTCTCGCTTCCTCTGTGGTGTTTAGTAATAGTGTTGGGTTGAGTTATCTCTACTCCGATGACGAGATGGACCTCCTACGGGAAGGGTTGGGCCACGGCCGGTGATGGCTGTTAGGACTCCGACCTTAGTGCCCGACTGCTGTCCTAGCGCTAGTTATTCAAAAGCTTCGCATGCCTAGGCAGGACGTGGGGGGACTCGTTTATGGTTATTTATCCTTTCGATGACGATTATTATCGATTTAAGCAAATATAACTAATTTACAAAATATTGTTGTTCAAACATGAAACAAGTAATTGGAGAAATCATGTACATTCTAGAGATATTCTATTAGGCCAGATGAATACGTGTTTTGCTCTGTGCTATGAGAACAAAGATTAGAGCAAGAGATTGAAAATTTATCGTAAAAATTGATTTCATAAAATGCGTAGTTTGCATTCTTAAAAAGTAACAACATTTCAGAGCGCCATGTGAAGAGTTTCGACCCAAATACCCTATAATTCTGTTTTTGAATCCCTAGGCTGCCATTTTCTTTGTTCTATTCAATATTGCTTTAAAGATATAAAGCTTCTTTTAAAATAAGCTAGACACAAATTATTAAGTCCAGTTGTTGCCAGGAAATCCCGAAAGTTCTAAGCTCAAAGGATTAAGGTCTTACCAGAATGAAAGGAAAAACTTGTTGATTATCATGATACCTGAATTTGTATTAATAAACAACATTTTCAAATTGGAAAACAATTGTTTAAATTGTTAAAATTGTTTGTTGTAAAGTAAGAAAAAACTTTATAATTCCATTAAAGAAGGAAATAAAAGAAAATTTTGGGACGATCTATATTTGTCAAACGATAAAGATTTATTTCAATTCAAAGTTTTTTTTTTCGTAAACGACAGAAACTATGGCTTTCACTAACTTTGCATAATTGCAACTATACTTTGAAACTATAATTGCATAAGAGTAGTTTTTTAACGCAAGTTCTTCATTTTTACTTCGTTCCCATCCATCCAGTTCTTTTAAAGCAACACTCTAAATGAATTAATTTGTCTAAAATTTTCACTTATATCTTCTAAAATGTTATTTTCAAAGGTAAGAAAGAATGATAAAATTTTGATTGTGATTTTAATGGCCCAAAAGCCGTTTTTAGGTATGCTGCATTAGATTAAATTTTGAAAACATAGAATTAAAAAATTGCAGCAAAAAGCTATCATCAAAATTCTGTAAAATTAGAAAGAATGACCCTTATAAGAGTGAATATTTAATTGTTTTTATTTTCATGTCGTTGTGAGTAAAATTTGTACGCTTTTCAAAATTAAATAAATGCTTTCATAATATTAATTTTTAAGATTCCACCACTTTATAATTTATTTTATATATATATTTTTAACACTATTTCATAGTTAATTGTTTTTCTGTTATTTTAAGAAAGATTATATGTTAAGAAAAACTCTATGTTAAATTCAATTGATCGATTCATTGCAAAAGAAGTGTTTCAGGATCAGGGAATTTTTTAGTAGAACACCACACTGAATTCATTTTTGGAATGCAAATTTGACCTATAACACATATTCGGAAACATAGATTTTTATTGTACTTTTCATTGTACTTTTGTAGTCATAATCCTTTATTACTGAAATAATTTCTTTCCAGATTAGTGCAATTCTTCTGAGTAAATAGTTATTTCTGATAAGAAATATTATAATATTGAACAATTTTCCTCAAGTGATAAAAAATGCCTTTCAGAGATGTAAAAAGCGATACCAGGATCGGGATTAGAACCCGTGACACACGACGAAACAGATGATGAGAAATCACTGCTTGCGGTCCAACGAAACAGCATCACGCAAAGTTAGTTTTGAAGCGAACCTTACTTAATCAAACCAGAATTTATAAGAACAAAAATTGTTTATTGTAGAAATATGATTTCTATAGACAAATGCAATTGTTATGAGATATTATAAGATATAGTTGTTTCTTACAAATATATAACAGTATATTCCCAATCAAAGGAGTTCACCGTTTATTATTACATAAAAGAGGAAACCAGGAGCGGGATTCGAACCCACAACGCACACAGCGAATCAGATGATGCGAAATCACTGATATCTATCACACACAGTATACTTTTCATAACGCACAATGCTTTTTACATTATTTACACTAAACCTAATTTTGCAAGCACGGGTATTTACAGCAATCGAAGCCCGTTTTGTTTCCCCAGAGTAGACATTACACTCAACAGGGTGTGTGACAGACATCAGTAAGTTTCACAGATCTGATGCCATATCCATTCGGCCATCCTGGCACAAAATTGGTTCAGAACTAAATTTTGATGTCGAATGTCCTTTCATTCTCGGACTTTGAAATTTTTAAAAAAATCGAATGAACTCTGTCTATTGAAATAATGAATTTCGTTACAACTTTATTCTGGAAATCATATTTTTTAAGTGTTTGTTTAAACTATTCAATGAAAAAATTTTGAAACTTTTAGTTCCTGTTCAGATTCAGAGGAAAACATTTTTTTAAAATAGTGTCAATTGGGGTAATTGGGCACTCTGTAATATTTTTCTCTTTTAAAGTATAGTATGCGATGGAGAAGAGGTCTATTTTCCTTGTTAGTGTATAAACATGTTCTGCAGGGTTCATTAAACAGTGTCTCTTTCAAAAATAATTTATTAATTAATCAACCTCACTTTTAAGAGAGTTCTTATTTTACACCGAAGTGTTCCCAATTACTCCAGAGACTGAGGGGAAATTGTGAACACATATTTCTGCTTCTGATGACAGTAACGAATTGATTTGAAGAGAACATATTTGAAATGATTAGAAACTATTTAATATTGCCACAAAATGCATATACCTGCTTTTTCCCAATTATCACAAAATACTCTTTTTTGAGTCCTTTTCAGCAAAAATATCTTCTATTTCATATAATATCGCATAGAAACAACTATTACAGCTATTTACTGCTTCCAATTTGGTGTAATTTACAATCAATCTAACTCAGTTTTTTTCGGGAAAGGTTGAGAATGAATATTGATAGAAAGTGAAGTAACTGAATATTATGACACACTAGAAGGAAATGGGCAAGATTTCAAAATCACACATAAAAAATAGTTCAATTAAGTAGTAGAAAGTAGATTTTTTAAACTTGAAATCACACACACACAAACGTTCTACTCTATTCTACTAATTTTTCTTTGACATTTACACTACATGAAAACCAAATAATTCTTTCCTACAATCTACTTCAAAGATACGATCTGGGTGTATAGCTTTTAGCTGACTCGGAAAAGACAAACTGGTCATTCACCACTGAAACAAATTTTAATTTAGCCAAAGCGGTGTTTCTCAAACCTGTCATATCAAATTCACCACCATCAACTTCTTTAACCCCGCAGACGTAAGAATAATGCGCCGTGATTCTGGCATCTCCAACGCTATTGATTAAAACAATCATAATTTTTGAAAAATCAACCATGGATGATTTTTCAATACTTCTTCCCTCTCCGAAATCTTTGTTTCTGGTAGAAAAAAGCTAAAATCCTTATCTTCAGATTTCTCCATCAGTATCACGTTTCTTTCTTTCTCCTCCTCAGTTTCTTGTTTTCTTCCATACTTGAAGTGAAATGGCTTCTTATCATTATGGACAGACAACTTTCATGCGTAAAAAGTAATATGTATGTAGATCATATGGTAAAATATTTTAAAATGTCAGTTGTTAATTTGACATAAAACAGTGGACTGTGTTGAAGGACAGAAGGCAAAAGCGTTTCTAGATTTAAAATTGCTATAATAAAATAATAAACTATTCCAAATACATAAAATTACAGGTTAAAGTAACATTATAATCCTGTTCCTAATTACCCAACACTGAAAATTTGCTAGTACCTTAACAGTGCGCTCTGTAGTCACCGTTCCCAAAATTCCAATTTCCCAGCCTGACAATATATGGTATCAGCAAATCTGTAATAGTTATAATGTTTTTGGCGATCAAAAATTCAAAGAATAGAGTATACAATGAAATAGAGATTCCTTCAAATTCTATTTTAAAATTCCTTCTAATATACAATTCGATGTATCAAGCACAATGAATGAGAATTTTTCTATTTGGTAGAGACTATATTTTCAGCATCAACTGCAGTTTTTCGATACATGATACACCTTTTTTTCTATTTTGCGATATGATTTCAGCTTATGAAATTTAGTTTTTTCCATTTATTTTCCATTATTTTTTATATTCGGCAATATATAATATAAAATAAAAATTCTTTAACATTCGATTCAGTAGTTTCACTTTGGATGGAGGAGAGATGTATCTCCAGTGTTCAAGTGATCAGCATCTGTATCATTTATTATGAAGAGTAAAAAATTCTATTGATACACGGCAGCTCTACTGCTAGTAAATAAAGATTAAGACGTACTTGTATAATCATAAAATTCATTCCACATATACTGTTTTTAAACACTTTTATTAAACTTGTTTCCATATGTGTCGAGATGGAATTTTGTAATCATCTATTTTTCACTCATCTCCTCGTGTGCTAGAGAATCGAAACTTGCACACTTGTGACAGTACATTACTTTAATATTTTCAGAGCAAAATTATCAGGGAAGCGTTAATTAAATTTAATTTAATATTTATATTTAATTATAGCAAATATTAATTTTATTTTTAATTTAAAATTAATATTTGCTTCCTTACTAGCAGCATCAGTTGGTAATGAGTTAAAGAAACGATAGATCTCATGATTGGAAAACACAAAATAATTAAAATAAAAACATTTCTGCTATATAGTACACAATTAAAAGTGTATTTTTCAAAATAAAGTAATCTATTTCTTACTCTTTTTAAAATATTAGGCAAATATTACCTTTCAATTACTTTAATGCCAGATAATTGTCAAAAACTAAAAATGGCATGCATATTTTAACATCAAGCCACCCTATGATTTATATAACGTATCGCATATCAGAATGTATACTGTCATTTTGTAGGTACTTCGCATTTTGTGATGTAGTATTAAAACTTCATGCAACTTTATGCGCTATGCCTTTTTCAACTGTACGCATATTTAATTATAAGTAACTTTATTTTTTCAGGTATAATAAGATTAGAGGTTGGATGAATAGACAAATAAGCACATTCGTGCCCGGATTTGAGCCGCTTGTGAACTGGATTGTCCTCCACATCAATCTCAGAATGTGTTTCTTTGTCGCTGTTTTCAGTCACTTCTCTATCGAGATCTGATGCATCAGATTCGTCCTCGGCTAGTCTCTCTTTGCTTAATTTTTCCAGAACAGCCGAACTGTGCCCTGGAGGCACAATTGTGGAAAAAACGACCTGACGTACTGTATGCGTGCCCAAAATTGTGCCAGATTCTAGCCCCTCTCACGAAGGATTAAATTGTTCTAAAAGGGAAAAAAATTGAACAAAAGAGTAATATTTAAATAATATATTATGTATGTGTGTGGGCAAATCTTTTTTCGAAAAATACAATAAACACCTCCGAAACTTATAAAGGCTGTATTGACAAACAGGTGAAGCTATTTTAATGCAATTTTGTCCAATAATGTTATGACAAGTAAGTTAACATTTTGTAGTAGTAGTATTGGTTGACATTTTATATCCAGAAAAGCATTTTTCCGAGTTCACCACAAGGAATTTCTAAACCTCTTTAAAGAAAAAAAAATCGATTTCGTGTGAGGCTAGATTTATTTTTACTTCAAACATTTTCACACAGTTGTTTTCTGTTATTCTTAAATATTTTGTTGCTTGTCCAAGTTGAAATCGATTTTTACGAATTTTTCTGTGCGATCACAGTTCTTTCTGTTTTCTTAGCAGGAAACCTTTACAAAATACGTTTCTACTCGTATAATCCCTTTTGACCTTTTATCCGTCTCATGGAAGGAAAGGTGTTTCAGATATTCGGGTGAAAATGTATTTGCAAAGATACATTTGACATTGCTGTTTTTTCTTCAAAGATTGTGGAAAGTTGCCTGTTATTACTGAAAAATAAAGGTGATGTTATGTTTCTTGACATACTGACAAATCCAAGGTGGCGTGAGATCAGCTGCAGAAGATAGAGTTCTTTGAGGTATGCTTTTAAACAAATGCAAATAAAGCTTAGAAACAACATTCTTTTACGGGGCGAGGTTTAAAACAAAATTTATAAAGGTATTATCTTCTGTTTCAATAAAAGCGAGGGAGAGAAATAATTTTGTTTGATTCATTGCCTTTTCAATATGTTAATAAAAGCCCAAGTCAAAAACAATCTTGCTTTTGTAACTTTTCTTCACACATTTTTGAAAATAACTCGTTGATGAAAAAAAGTTCAATCGAATAATATCTTTCATATCTTTGTACATATATTCCGACAGTTTCTTTAATTCGGTGGCTATCATAATAGAAGAAAAATATAAGTAACACATTAAATAACTGAATTTGTAACCGTTTAAATAACAAAAAACTGCATTTTCATGCAATTTTTATTAGAGATTAATTAAAAGTTTAATAAAAGACTTGATGAGGAAAGTATCCTATTGTAAGAATTATGAGTTTAAATAATATACACTGAAAACTAGAAATTGAATCACGAGTTCATTTTTATATTTCTATGGCATTTTCTGTTTTGAACTACTATTTAAGTAATTTTTTAATAACATCTTTACATTAATTTATTTACAGATATTTCGCTTGCTGTCATTAATCTGAAAAACACCCCTTGTATAATGGTACTATTTTTTCAAATTCCATGACAACGATTTTTATTATCGGTTTACTACTATTTACTACAACAAGTAAGTTGTTTATTTAAACATCGAACCTGATAACAACAAAAAAACTCTTCCTAGCCACTACCATTAATAACATGACAGGAAGCCTAATCATATTTTTTTTCAAATCCTTATATTTCAATAATACGTTAATCATTACTCTCATTTTGACGTCCTGCATGCTCCTTGTTTACTTTTTATACAATTGCGAAATTAACTACAGTCCATTTTATTTTTTACTCAGCAAAGAAAGTGAAAACATTTGAAGTTTCATGAAAGAGCGTTTAAAAATTTTGAATACATTCATTCACACGACATCCCTTACTCGAAAGTGTTTTATGTCACGCATGCTTCTGCCTACGACGCAGATTCTGTTGACGTTTCGTGTACAAAAAAAAGCCTTTCCATATCTATCCCCATGAATTCTGAAACTCTCGAAAGAAAAAATAACATTGACTCTAGGATTACATTTATTTTTACTTCAGGTATTTCTACATTGATGCTTCCTGTTATCCCTGGATTGTCTGC